TCATCATCGCGCCCTGGAACTACCCCCTGAACCTGACGCTGGTGCCCCTAGTGGGTGCCCTCGCCGCAGGTGAGAGCTAGGCTGCCCCTTCCGGCCGCCCTTCTCCCTTCGGGGCCTCAGCGCCACCCATGGGTCCCAGGAGGACATGGGAAACTGGCCCAGGTGGCAGAGAAGGACTGTCTGGTTCATGTCCCCAGGCTGTGTGGCCCTGGGCCCGTCATGTCACCTCTCTGAACCAGGTTCGCTGTCTGAAAGCGGGGGAGGCCGGCACCTGCGCTGCAGGTGTGCGGAGGCCAGGAGCGGGCTGCGCCTCCCCAGCTGTCTCCCCCCGCCGCCCTGCAGGGAACTGTGTGGTGCTGAAGCCATCGGAGATTAGCAAGAGCATAGAGAAGATTCTGGCCGAGGAGCTGCCCCGATACTTGGACCAGGTGAGCAGGGCTGCCGGGCAGATGGAGCGGGAGCAGGCAGGCCTCGAGGGTCGGTCAGACCCAAGTCCCCCACTCAATCCTGCCTCTTCTGAGTCGTAAACTTGGCCAAGTCACCGCCCCTTCAGCCTCAGTTTCCCTCTGAGGAGCAGCAAGGACAGCCTGTTGCCCAGGGGTCCTGTGTCTGCCTCTGCCTGGCCCTGGCATCAGCTCCTGCAGTGCCAGCCGGACTGCCAATGCCAGGCACTCTTGGGGAGCTCCCTGTTCCCCACTTTGCCTCCGTGCAGCCCTCCTAGATCCCTGGCTGGGTCAGGCCTGGCGGGGCAGAGGCAGGGCAGGGTCCAGTGGGGCAGACTGCTCCCTGGGCTCTCGGAGCTGGGGTCCCAGAGGGATCTTCACCTCCTGCCTTGCAGAGCTGCTTTGCCGTGGTGCTGGGCGGGCCCCAGGAGACGGGGCAGCTGCTGGAGCACAGGTTCGACTACATCTTCTTCACAGGTGAGGGTCGGGACAGGCGGGGGTCGGGGAGGACAGCCCCAGGCTCAGGGCTGGGGTCCCTAACTCTGGGAGTCCAAAAGGGAGACTGAATTCTCCTGTCTCTCTGGACCAGGCTGGGAGCAGTCCTGGACCCCCAGGACCCCTTAGGAAGAGATGGAGTCCCATGTCCAGGGCCATCCCCCCATGCCATCCACAGCCTCGGGAACCGCAGCCTCTGCCCACACCGCCCCCAGACCCTCATGCGTGACCCCACTGCCCCCAGGCCCTTAGTCACCACCCTACTGGTGCCCACAGCCCTCTCTGCAGGCAGATGAGGGACTGGGGCTCAGCATCCTGCCCAGGGTCACCTGCTGGCCGGGATGGGGCAGGCTGGAAAGTACACAGAAGCCCTGGTGAAATCCATGCCAGAGGTCGCTCTTTTTTTTTTTTTTTTTTTTTTTGAGACAGAGTCTTGCTCTGTCACCCAGGCAGTGGCACCATCTCAGCTCACTGCAACCTCCACCTCCCGGTTCAAGTGATTCTTATGCCTCAGCTTCCCAAGTAGCTGGGATTACAGGCATGTGCCACCACACCTCGCTAATTGTTTTGTATTTTTAGTAAAGACAGCGTCTCACTCTGTTGCCCAGGCTGGTCTCAAACTCTTGGCCTCAAGCAATCCTCCTGCCTTGGCCTCCTAAAGTGCTGGGATCACAGGCATGAGCCACCGCACCTGGCCTCGAGTTTTTGAGCTAATGAGGGGCAGAAGGAGCGGGAGGAAGACAGTGGTGCTGAGAGGCGAGGCTGTGCCTTGCAGGTGGAGGGAACCATGGGGAAGGGCCTGGAGGACGGACCAGCCCACCTCCTGGCAAAGGCAGAAGGAGCCCCAGGGGCAACTGCAGAGCCCAGGAAGCACTGTGCCCAGGAGGGGGCGGGGTGAGAGTAATGAAGGACAGTGGCTCCTGCCGGCTTTAATCCTTGACTACAAGGGGAAGTGCCAGGGCCATCCCCACAGCTGCAGCAGCATAGGCCCCGGGCGAGGTCTGGAGAGGAGGCCCTGCGGCCCAGACAGGGCTAGGGCAGAGAGGCTGAGTGCGCGGGGGAGGCTGCTGGGCCCCCGGAGGCCAGCACAGAGGAGAGGTGAGGCCAAGCCAGGCTGGATGTGGGGACGCCTCAGCCTGGGCCAGTCCACCTCAAGGGTCAGAAAAAAAGGGCTGGGTGGTGGCAGAACTGCCAGGTTTAGGTTTAGAGAAGCAAGACCTGAATGCCACAGACTAAGAGCTGGACCCCAGCCTTGGGTGATAAAGGATCCCCGAAGGTTCTGGAGAAGGGTTTTATGCAGCATTTTACAGCGTCCCCAGCCAGGGTTAGAAGCAGAGACGGGAGGAGCCAAGGGGCTTAGCTCAGGTGGGGGACCCTGAGGGCCAACAGCTGCCACGCACCTTTCCCCCACCGAGACTCTGCATTTAGGGCTGGTCCTGGGGAGGGATAAGCAGGCCCTGGGCTGCAGGGTGGCAGTGAGGGACAAGGAAAGGCGAGGTGAGGGATGGCACCTGCCAACTCCATCACCTCACCAGGGAGGAGCGGGGCCCTGGGCTGGGCCGTCTCACCTGGTCCAGGTCACTGAACAGCCACTCTGGTTCCCTTCCACGCCCAGGGAGCCCTCGTGTGGGCAAGATCGTCATGACTGCCGCTGCCAAGCACCTGACGCCCGTCACTCTGGAGCTGGGGGGCAAGAACCCCTGCTATGTGGACGACAACTGTGACCCCCAGATCGTGGCCAACCGCGTGGCGTGGTTCCGCTACTTCAACGCCGGCCAGACCTGCGTGGCCCCTGACTACCTCCTGTGCAGCCCTGAGATGCAGGAGAGGCTGCTGCCCGCCCTGCAGAGCACCATCACCCGTTTCTATGGCGACGACCCCCAGAGCTCCCCAAACCTGGGCCGCATCATCAACCAGAAACACTTCCAGCGGCTGCGGGCACTGCTGGGCTGCGGCCGCGTGGCCATCGGGGGCCAGAGCGACGAGCACGATCGCTACATCGGTGAGTCCTGCTGCCCCTGCCACAGCCCACATGGGCCGAGACCCCTCCTCACTGGAGGGCCCACAGCTGGGCCATGAATCTGGGCCTGCACCCGAAACCTGGCCCCACTGCCAGAGCCTGGCCTTGAGCCACAGCTCCAGTGCCACTAATCTGTCTCTGTGTTTCTGAGCCTGTGGCCCCATGAGGCCAAACTCTGGTCCCTCAGCCCTGGATTCACTGAGCTCGGACCCTGGGCTCCAGGGCCCACCGTGCTAAGATGAACTCCCATCCCACCACCCGCTGTCCTGAAAGGCCATGACCTCAGATTCTCTGAGCCCACGATCCCCAGGTTCCAAACTCCGATGGCCCCATCCTGAGTCCCCCGGTCTCCTGGGCCGTATAGCTCAGCAGCTCACGGGACACTGCGGCTCCAACATTCTTGGACGCTGTCGCCTCATGAACTCCAAGGTTCTGAGATCCCATCACTCCTGACTGTGGGACCAAGGTCGGGGGATTCTCTGGGTCCCACAGGCCCTGGGCAGGCTGGGGAAGCCCTAAGGTCTCTTCTGGGGGCTTTAGGGAGACTTTCTTCCCTAGACACTCCAAATCCTGGAGCCCTGGGAAGTCAGACCCCGAGATCCTGGCCTGGAGCCCTGGCCCTTGTCCTGTCCCCACTGCTACCCCCACCCCTGGGGGCTGTCCTGACTGTGGCCCCCGGGCTGAGCCATCTCTGGTGCCCGGCAGCCCCCACAGTGCTTGTGGACGTGCAGGAGGCGGAGCCGGTGATGCAGGAGGAGATCTTCGGGCCCATCCTGCCCATCATGAACGTGCGGGGCGTGGACGAGGCCATCGAGTTCATCAACCGGCGGGAGAAGCCCCTGGCCCTGTACGCCTTCTCCAATAGCAGCCAGGTGGGGGCGCGGCCGGGCTGGGCAGGGGCAGGAGCCCGCAGTGGGCAGTGCAAATGGTGGCAGCAGAGGGACCACCAAAGTCCAGTGGCTTCAGGACTTTGGGATGGTGGTCCTCTGGACTCTGTCTCTGCCTACTGTCCTGGAAGCAGCTGAGCATCACCCACCCCAGCCCTGCTCCTAGCCTGGGCCCCATTCTCCTAGGCCTTCAGTGGGCGGCTTCCTGGGGTCTTCTCTAGGGTCCAGCGTTTCCTCCAGGTCAGCCCTGCCTTTGTTCTTCCTTACACATCTGGGCCTGTGGCTGCATGACCCGGCTCTCAAGGTACAGGCAACACGTCGGGGATGACCTGAAGGTGCAGGTCCGAGAATAAGCCCTGATACCCGACCACTGCTCAAGCTGCAGAGGTACCCTGGGAGCCCCAAGGGCAGAGTCCTCAGATTAAAAAACACGAAGAGGTACCAGCAGTCCCCACCCACCCTCCCCAGGCCCTCAGACAGCCAATCGATTCCCTCCACTTGAACTTTTTGTTTGTTTGTTTGAGACAGCCTCACTCTATCACCCAGGCTGGAGTGCAATGGCTCAATCTTGGCTCACGGCAATCTCTGCCTCCTGGGTTCAAGCGATTCTCCTGCCTCAGCCTCCTGTGTAGCTGGGATTACAGGCATGTGCCACTATGCCTGACTAATTTTTTTTTTTTTTTTTTTTTTGAGATGGAGTCTCACTCTGTCGCCCAGGCTAGAGTGCAGTGGTGCAATCTCGGCTCATTGCAACCTCCACCTCCCGGGTTCAAGTGATTCTCCTGCCTCAGCCTCCCGAGTACGTGGGACTACTGCTGCCCTCCACCACACTTGGCTAATTTTTTCTATTTTTAGTAAAGACAGGGTTTCACCATATTGGCCAGGCTGTTCTCAAAACTCCTGACCTTGTGATCGGCCCACCTCGGCCTCCCAAAGTGCTGGGATTACAGGCGTGAGCCACCACACCCAGCCCTATTTTTTGTATTTTTAGTAGACATTGCGTTTCACCATGATGGCCAGGCTGGTCTCGAACTCCTGACCTCAGGTGATCGGCCTGCCTCGGCCTCCCAAAGTGTTGAGATTACAGGCATGAGCTACTGTGCCCGGCCACTTGAACATTTTTTTAAATAAACTTTTTATTGAGAAATACTTTTAGATTTACAGAAAAGTTGCCAAGATAGTACAGAGAGTTCCCATGTGCCTCGCATCTAATTTTTCCCATTTAACGGTGCTTAGATGGGTCAAAACTAAAAAAAGTGATGACAGGGCTGGGCATGGTGGCTTACACCTGTAATCCCGGCAGTTTGGGAGGCTGAGGTGGGAGGATTACTTGAACCCAGGAGTTTGAGACCAGCCCCAGAAATATAGCAAACTCCGGTCTCTATGAAACATTTTTAAAAATTAGCTGCACACAGTGGCACATACCTGTAGTGCCAGCTGCTCGGGAGGCCGAGGTGGGAGGATCTCCTGACCACAGAAAAAACCAAACATGACAGCAGTGCATTACTATTAACTACACTCCAGGCTTGACTTGGATTTTGCCAGTTTTTCCATTGCCGTCCCCTTTCAGCCCCAGGATCTAAGCCAGGGTCCCACCTTGCATTAAGAAGCCTCTCAGCTTGAGGAGTGCTAGACAAGTCTCCTGTAGAACATCCCCAGCCTAAGGTCATCTGGTGTATTTCACATTATTAAAGAAGGGTTACCAGTTTTAGGAGAGAATCCCACAGAGGTGAGCCTCCCTCTCACACCACATGAGGGGCACCTGAGACGCACACGTGGCTGGTCAGGGGAACCTTCACTACAGGGTCGGGGCAGGGTCTGCCAGGGTCTCCCTGGGAAGCTACTATTGTTTATTATTTGGAGGCAAGTCTCTAAGGCTACCCCACCCTCCCCAGGTGGGAGTAATTAAACTATGCTGCTCTATCATATTGTTATTATCTAGTTATTTTATACATTCTTCTCTTATTCTGTTTGTGGTTTAGTGGAATTCTGTTGTACTGCTGTCTGATATCTTTCTCTTCCTCCTTTGTGTGATTGTTTTACAGGGCCTGCAAGTTTCAGACTTTTGTGTGTATTATTACAAATATCAACTTATTTTTATGTTAAGATTCCTTTGAGCATTTCTCACAGGACTGATCTAGTTGTGATAAATTCCCCCAGCCTTTGCTTGTCGGGGAAAGGCTCTATTTCTCCTTCATCTATGAAGTGTAGTCTTAGCTGGATATAGTATTCTTGGCTAGCAGCAGTATCTACATCTATTTCCTGGAATTTTGTAAGAAAGTTTCATCTCTTGAATTGTTTATTTAGGTCAGTACAGACTCAGGAATATTCATTTGACTCCAGGGGCTGTAATCCAAGGTTGCATGGTTTGTCTGAGGCTCAGGCTTGGAAGCCCATGTTTCTGTAAGATGGTCCGGCCTCTTGGGTTGTGACCACCTCCTTCCCCTCTGGTGCTACAAGCAGCTCCAGGCTCATCTTATATTTTTCCTGCTCTAACTCCAGAAGCAGCCATTCCTCCAAGGAGCCCTGCTTCATCTGGATACTTTTACCTTTAGAAAATGCTACAGAGGTTTTTTGGCAGTGGAGTCAACTGGCTTCAGACTTTTCTGACCACTCACCACTGGTCCCAGGACACACAGTCACATCTAAGATGCAAGCCATGCACAAGGTGGCTTGCCCATACTACTCAGGACGCCCTCTGCTGCCTTCTGCTCCATCTCCTCCATCTGTTGCCACTGCCATTGTGGGTAATGCTGGTCTCATGCCATGAAGTGACGTCTGAAGCCACTGGGGGCAGTCCACTCTCCCCACATCAGACAAGCCCTGACCCAGCTGTAATCAGAGGCTCTCGGTGATTGCAACTAAATATGTTGAAGTTTTTGTGCAGCAACAATTTAGTGTCTACCAATCTTTTTTTCCTTTCAGTCTTCAAATAAGCCTACAGATTGAGGAAGAAGGTCCTTTATTAAGTCAAGCAAGGGCCAAGCTTGTTTCTAAAGTGCAAATCTGACCACATCACTATGTCTTCATGTCCCTGTGCTCCCACCACACAGCCCTTCAGCCTCCAGTCTGTCTGGGGCGCCCTCTTTGCCTGAATAACTTCTGTCCCTCCCAAACCCTCCACTCAGCAGGCACATGACACCCCTCCCCTGGGATGCCTCCCTGCTGTCCAGCACTGCACTACTGCCACTGCCACCTTCCATGTCCCCAGGCAATACTGGGTTTCCTGCCCTTACCCCCAGGCCTGAGAGTCTGTGCCCCCAGCATGGGCCACACATGAGTAGAGTCCAGGAAACATGTCCCAAGTGGAAGCCCCATAAGGGGCTCCTACACAACCCCCTGCCCCACCTGTCCCACCTGTCCCATCATGTGCCCTTCAGCTGACATGGTGGCCTCAGACCCTTTCTGAGGCAAGGCCAGCATCACAGAGTCCAGCCTGGACCAGGCTCTGGGTCCTGAGGATCCCAACGGGGCTCAAGGCAGCCTCACACACATCCTGTTCTCTCTCAGGTGGTCAAGCGGATACTGGCCCAGACCAGCAGCGGGGGCTTCTGCGGGAACGACGGCTTCATGCACATAACCCTGGCCAGCCTGCCTTTCGGAGGAGTGGGTAGGTGCCTGCTACCCTGCCCTTCTGTTACCATATGGTCAAATTGCAACAGCGTTACCTGCATACATTCCCGCCAAAAACACCCCAGCCCCACCTCAGTGTGGAGGGACAGGCAAGGAGGCCTCACCCCAGAACCTCCATCCTGCTCACCACCCCAGAGGGTCTGAGTCCAACCTGGACAGTGAGACACTGTCTCAAAAAAAGGTCTGCAGCGGAACCTTCTAGATCATCTCTGCGCATACAATTCAGTGAATTTTTTAAAAACCCACACAATTATGATCACACTGCCCACTGCGCTGCTGCTTGCTCTTCTCCCAACAACATGCCCTGGCACCTGCCCCTCAGCGGCAATGCCACCAGCGTCCTTTACCCCAGGGCGGCCACTCCTCTAACCCCATCCCCACTCTAGCACTCAGTACACTTCCCCACCCTGGGAGGCCAAATGACTGCAAATCCTCCGCCCTCCAGAACAGCCCCTGATGCCACTGCAGAGGCCTGGCCTCCGAGTCAGGAAGCCTCAGAGCTGGTCCCAGCAACACCCTGACAGGCCCTGTGGCCCAGGTGATACCTCCCCTCTCTAAGCTCACTTGTTCCTCAGTGAACACCTGCCCTGGGAAGGTGGCTGCCAGCCCTGCCACCCGTCCACACTCAGCACCAGAGTAAACGATGGCAGGGCCAGGCAAGCTGCCCCAGGTGGACCTACGCCCTTCCTGGAGGGCGGCCAGGGCCACAACAGTGCCTGTGCTGTTGTCCCAGCTTGGCTCAAGTTTGGGTGGCTGCCCCTGCCCCCGCCTTGCTGCCTCCCCAGCACCAGCTGCAGCTTCCTCAACCTGTTCCTCTGCCCTGGAGCAGAGTCAGGCCCTCTGTGAGCACATCTGACCCTGCTGCTCCCTCAGTAAAGCCTCCCCCAGCTCCCAGGCCCTAGACCTTCCCGGTGGCCACGGCCCCACCCTGGCTTTCCCACCTGCTTCTCCGGAAGCCTGAACTCTGCTCAGGTCCCTAAAACACTGTGTGACACTCACCTCTGAGGCTCCCCAAGCCTGGGTCCCTCTTGCCCTCACCCACCCTCTTCCTCCCATTCCTGGGGCTCACTCACTGCAGGAAGCCCCCCAGCCAACCCCACTCTGTGCAGGCTGTGCCCTGGACACACTGGCCTGGGGCCTCGTCTGCCTCCCGACCTAGACGCTGAGGACAGCTCACTGCACACAGCACCTACTGGGTCCAGGGGTCTCAACACCCCCTCAATCCCCACCACAACCCTAGGAGGGAGATGCCCTTGTCACCCCATGGCAGAGGAGACCAAGGCACGGTGACACGGCTTGTTTGTAGCAGGGCCAGGATTTAACCCCAGGCAGTCTGACTATGGAATCCATGCCCTTGACCACCGTCTGCCTATCATGCCCTGGCACCTGGTGTCCCCAAGGCTTACTGGGCTAGTGCCAAGCTCGGGGCTAAGCCCTTTATCCACAGTGCCTCATGATCAGCCCGCTGGACAGATGGGGAAACTGAGGCTCAGAGGAGTGAAGTAGCCCGCCTAGGCCCCACTGTCTGTGACTGGCAGAGCCCAGGTCTGACACCCTGAGGGCCTGACCACCTGTGTTCTGCGCCACCATCCAGGTGCCAGCGGGATAGGCCGGTACCACGGCAAGTTCTCCTTCGACACCTTCTCCCACCATCGTGCCTGCCTCCTGCGCAGCCCGGGGATGGAGAAGCTCAACGCCATCCGCTACCCGCCCCACTCACCGCGCCACCTGAGGAAGCTGGTGGTGGCCATGGAGGCCCGAGACTGCAGCTGCACGCTGCTCTGAGCCCCTCTCCAGGCCCAGGCCAAAGACCACCATGACCGCTGTCACCTGCAGCTGGTGGAGACAGGGCCTGGGCTCCAGGTCTCTGAGGAGAAAAAAGATTGCCAAGGCTCCAGGCGCTCCTCAGAGCAGCGCCTGCCTCCTCCCTCCTGGGGCTTCCCTCTCCTCGTCTCAGCCTCCTACCTCAGCTGCCCTCTACTAGGAGAGCCATGGGAAACAGCGTAGTGACCGACTCCTGTCCCTGCGCCAGCCACCTATGTCCAGAAGAGGATAGGCATGGCGCCTCTGGGCCACCACCATCCTGTGGAGTGGGCGGCCTAGGGGCCCTGGCATCTGATTCAGGCCACACTATGGAATCAGTATGTCCAAGGCCATCCCTACCCTCTCTGAACCTGTTTCCCCATCTATTCAGTAGAGAGGTTTCATAATTGATACCTCCTGGCTGGGCATGGTGGCTCACACCTGTAATCCCAGCACTTTGGGGGGCTGAGGCAGGCGGATCACCTGAGGTCAGGGGTTCGAGACCAGCCTGGCCAACATGACAAAATCCCATCTCTACTAAAAATACAAAAATTAGCCAGGCATGGTGGTATATGCCTGTAGTCCCAGCTACTTCAGCAAGCTGAGGCAGGGGAATTGCTTGAACCCGGGAGGTGGAGGTTGTAGTGAGCTGAGATCGCATCACTGCACTCCAGCCTGGGTGACAGAGTGAGACTCCGTCTAAAAAAAAAAAAAATACCTCCCGGGTTTTTGCAAGGATTAAATGAGGGATTGCTGAGACGGGGCTCCAGATGTCCTGTCTTTTCTCGGTGGGGTGGCACGGAGCAGGGCAGCCTCTCTCTTTTCTCCAGCCAGGTGAGGCTGTGGTTATGAGGTAAGGTCTCCCTTTCCTCCAGCCCATGCCAGAGGGGCTCGGAACTCTTCATTCTCACCACGTCCACTGCAGCTCATGCTCTTCCCCATCCTGCTCATCCTCCTGGGTCCCTTCCACTCAGCCAAAGCAGAACGCAGGGTTTCCTGCCTGACACCCTTTCTCATCCCCCCAGGTCCCACTTTTGAACAAGTTGATGAGTCTGAAACTGGCCCAATTTCCTAACAAGCTGGATGCTTCAGAAACCTACATTTGGACAATGAGAGGCAGCTCCTGCAGCCTTCGGGCCACCTCCTCTTCCTTGCCTCCGGATTTCTTTTCAGACTGACTTTATCAACCTTCAACTTTAGTAGGGGAGGGGGACAGGGATGAACCTGAGTTTCACCTCTCCGGCTGATGTCATCTGAATAAGGCGTTCTGCCCTGGCAATACTTACATCTTGGTGATTTGCTTTCTGTGCAGCTAGGAACAGAACCCTGAACCAAGCCCCTGGTGTTGGGTGACAATTCCGTAATGCTGCAGGACTTCCCCAATCCATGCAGGAATCACCAGGTGCAGGGCCAGGGTCAGGTTCTGGCCACCATCCCGAGACCTCCCTTCTCTACAGGACCAGCCCCAGCCCCTCTCCTCGGAGCACCTGCTGACCAGTCCAAAGCCCTCTCCACTCCTCAGCCTGATCCCCGCCACCCCAGGGTTTCCCTGTGGCCCACAAGTCCTTTGGAGGCTCAGCCATCCACATGCAAGTCCTGAGCCACTGCCTCCTCTGCACACACTCAACCTGCCCTTGTCCTAGTCCTGTCTACTGTGTGTGTCCTCCCTCTACATGGACGCCGGACGTGCCCTCCATTGCCTTCTCTTCCTGGCCTGCCCACCCTCAACTCAGATCCTCTCAACCCACACAAACAGGCAGCCGCGGGGCCTCCGCAGGTCCCTCTACCACAGCATTCCCGGGAGGGCCGGGCGCGGTGGCTCACGCCTGTAATCCCAGCACTTTGGGAGGCTGACGCAGGAGGATCGCCTGAGTCCAGGAGTTCCAGACCAGCCTGGGCAACATGTCGAGACTCCGTCTCTACAAAAAAATGCAAAAATTAGCCGGGCCTGGCGGTGGCGGGGCCCTGAGGTCCCAGCTGCTCGCGAGGCTGAGATGGGAGGTAGAGGTTGCAGTGAGCAGAGATCGCATTCCAGCCTGCGCCACAGTGCCAGACCCTGTCTCAAAAAAAAAAAGAATTCGCGGGAAGGAAACACATGCTGGTTGAGGGACTGGGCTCCTGAGTCAAACGGACCAGGTGGATCAAACTGCCGCACCCCGCAGCTCTATGGCCCGGGAACTTTACTGAATACTCCCGTGCCTCAGTTTGCCGTCTTAACGTGATAACTCAGTACTGTAGTTTCTCCACACAGAGCTGCTGTGAGGGTTAATGGAGGCCGCGTGGGTAGAGCATCTCATCGCCATTACCATCAACACACGAACCCACACCCCCAATCCGGACCCGGTGGGCCCACCCTCTCCGCCCAGGGCGACCAATGCGGCTTTCTAAACCACGCCCCGGATGTCCCGCCTCCCACACCTCGGAAGTCTTCTTTTATTGGCCTCTCCAAACCAACATGGCGGCGCCCTGCACTCTTCAAGCGCCCGCTGGCCTCCTAGCCAATCAAAAGAAGGATGTTTCTAAATCCCGCCTCTTTCGGCAGCCTTACTGGCCAATCAGGCCACACCATAGAGCATCAATACAAAAAAGGGGAATCCGGTCGGCCCAATGGCAGCGTGTTAGAGTATAGGCTCCGCCTCCCGGTTGACTGCTCTGCTCGGCCCGGCAAGGCAAGTAGCGGCGGCGCTTCAAGGTGGGTGTTCACGACTTGGCCGCGAAGTCCCGGCCTGGGCAGCGTGGCGTCCGGGGCGAGTGCGGTGTTACCGTTGGCGCTGCCAGCTCTGCGCCTGGGCTTCCCCTCGGCCCACTTAGGACCCGCGGCCTCCATGCCCTTCGGGTGCAGCGGGGAGCCGGCCCTCAGGGCGCATGCGCCAGCCGCTTGGCAGCACTAACCTCTGTGGGGTCGGAGAACATGGGGAAGGTCGGGGAAGGTGCTGGGTTGGGTCCCTAGAACTGCAGTCAGTGGTCCAAAGGAGCGGGCCTGCTAGGGGTCACAGGTCATGGGAGGAGCACTTTCGAGCTCCGGCTAAGTGCCGGGCTCGGTTCTGGCGTGCCCTTGGCACGTACCGGCTCCCCTAATTCCCAAGACCACCCTCGCCCAACCCACTTCATAGGTGAGAAGGCGGAGGCCGGGGCACGTCACCTGCCCAAGGTCACGTGGCAGGCTAGGGCACAGTTCCAGGAGGGCCTTGAAGCTGGAGAAAAGACTGTGGTACTGAGGACTGTGCAGACCTTGAAGGGTTTCCAGCAGGGCAGGGCTGAGTTCCAGTCCACCGCCCGCCTCCTAATCGTGTGACTTCCAACGAGCCACTTTTTTTTCTTTTCTTTTTTCTTTCTTTCTTTCTTTTTTTTTTTTTTTTTTTTTTTTTTTTTT